CCACCACCACCACCACCACTACTAGTATATGACAACAACTATGACAATAACGACCTCGACGAGAACTACTATGATGTAGGGCTCTATAGGGAGCATGCAGGAAGTTTAGACCGATGCGAGGCACTTCGCCGTTGTTTCCTTTTGGGTAGTTAAAAGGATTATGTACGCAATATGTCAACTCGTGAAAATCAGTCGATGATAGTGGTCATGGCAAATCCTGGGCAACTGCAGAGTCATGATTCTGTCATTATGTGGAGTATCAGGGAATGTTCCGAACTGAGATCATGGAGCCCCCGATATTTGGCGCACGCCCAGAATGCCTCTGAGCCAGCGGCTATCAAGAAACCGCTCGGGAACCACAACGTTGACAACCTGCGCATGGCATTGTCGATACAAGGTTTCTCCCTTCATCTTGGACCTGTCACCTCCCGCAGAACTTGGCACAGGCACATTTCTGTCATGTCTTGGCAACCACAGCGGCGGATCATAGATTGTGCATATCCCACTATTTCCCCTCCTGCTCGGTGAGGTCTTTCTCTGCAGCTGCAGGCTTCACCTGGGACTTTCCCACGATTGGGGTCAACATCACACAGTCTCAGCTCTTAGGCCCGCTTCAAGAAGAAAAGGGGCGTAAGCTTTTCGGAACCCCCCGCCTCTGGTATGTGGCTGTAGATGACGGAAATGCTGTGCACACGTTGGGGAAGCAGTGCACCTCAGTCAGGCTCGGTGTCTATTCTCGACGTGCACCGTGGGCAGGGCTTTTTTTTACACCCCAGTGGACTCTTTTCGGGTCTAGCTTACGCTCGAGGGTACTTGTTGCCCTGTCGGATTATTGGCCCGGATCCCAAGTGGGCAGGGTTTAAGGTTTAGGGTTCAGAGTTTAGGGTCGCGTTGTAAGGGTTTGGGTCCACAGACCCTTCTAGGAACCCCCATCTCAATGGCTATTCCACAGACCGCAACATTAAATCAATAGGGTTTATATGGGGTCTATATAGAGGTTATATAGGTTTATGTAGGGTTACATGGGGTTATATTGGGGTTATATAGGGACAATGGAAAAGAAAATGGAAATCCCCGCAAGATGTCATCTCAGCTTAGAGCCATCCGAGTCAGCCTTGTACTCCATGGTCACCTGGATAGGCTTTGGGTTCAGGGTTTAGGGTTTAGGGTTTAGAGTTTAGAGTTTAGGGTTTAGAGTTTATGGTTTCGGGTTTGGAGTTTAGAAGAGTTTAGGGTTTAGGGTTTAGGTGCTCATGCCCCACAGAGAACTGCGAGGTATCTGCACTGTTGGAAGTGCGTACAAAATGGTAGTTTCCCTCAAGATTGGGACCACAATATAGACCCCAAAATACTGTAGTCCTCATTATAAGGACCCCCACAAAAGGTACCCCTAATTTCGGGGAGCCCTAATCCCTGCAACCCTTATAAAATCCAAATGTCCACTTCATGTTCCATGTTCTTTTCCATTTTCTTTTCCATTTGACTAAAGCCTGAACCCTAAACCCTAGACCTTAAACCCTAACCTTAAACTCTAAACCCTAAACCCTAAATCCTAAACCCTAAACAACTAAAATTGAAAAACTTGTTGCGGCCCCTCTCTGCACTGACCTTTCCCAGACCACCAGAGCCCGTCCTGCACGCGAGCATCTGGTCGAAGCCACGTCAGCACTCCATCTCGCCTCTGAGCGCAGCTCAGGAGGGTTTAGGGTTTAGGGATTAGGTTTTAGGGCTGAAGGTTTCAGGTTTAGGGTTTAAGGTCTAGGGCTTAGGGTTTAGGGTCGAACTCTATCCAAACCCGCACTTAAGCTGAGCACGATCTCACACTTCCCTGGATCCCACCTGAGCTGATCCATCTGCCCGCACATCTTCGTGGCCAGGGCGTGAGACATCGGCATCGCTTCCTTAACAAGGAATCACATAGTAATCATGACAATGATGCTTCTAATAAAATTGATATTCCTGGTACAATAACGAGAAATAATAAGAGCGAGCAATCATGTTGGGCCAATGTTGGTATAGAATAATGATAAGAACCATAATACTAATACTACAGATAATCATGAAGTAATATCAAAATCATAATCTACTACTAAGAATTTCTAGAGATGATCATAGTACTTAGAATACTGAATTTAATGACACTAAGAATAAGTATACAGCAGTTACACAATCTCTGCAGAATACGGGCTCAGATGAGCTATAGTCTGAACTCCTAGTAACCCCCTTAAACTCCCCTAAATAACCCCCTTAAGGGAGTTAAGACCCCAAACATTAAACCCTAACCCTAACCCTATATAACCCCCTTTTGAGGAGTTTAGACCCCTAAAGCCTACATAACCCTATAGAACCCTATAATACCTTAAAATCCCCTATACCACCCCCTTTTGAGGAATTTAGACTATACTACAGGCACCTAAATTATTACCAATATTATTTTGAGGTCCATTTGAGGTACCATAGACCATAATTATATAAGGAATATGGAACCATAATATTGGTATATTAACCCCCTTTGAGGAGTTGAGACTATAGCTCAAATATGGTGGCGCCTCGGTCTCGTCTGTGGCATAACCGACGACTATGGCCTGAAAAGAGGTTTCTACGAATTGTTTAGGGTTTGAGGGTTTAGGGTTTGAGGGTTTTAGGGTTTCAGGGTTTCTGGGTTTTAGGGTGTTAGGGTTCTTGGATTTTAGGGTTTTTGGGTTTTAGAGGTTTGGGGTTTTAGGCTTAGCGTTTCCAACAGTTAGGGGTCCCTTTTTGGGGGGATGATGTATGAGCATCATTATGTACACCAAAACTGCCGAAGCAGAGAGAGACAGGTGTGAGCATGTGGGACCTCGGCGGACGATGCTTCAGCTCAAAGTGCAGGACTACTACAAGCCACATTCACTTGTAGTGCACGGTGCTCGCTCCGGAAATTAGGGATGTTTTTTGAGGTTCCTCATCATACGGATAGTACGATTTGCGGGTGTATGTTGAGGTCTCCCAACTGTACAGAAACTATGCTTCGCGGGCTTGAACTCCAATCACCCATCGCTCATGACCTATGCAGGGCTTATTATAAGGATCCGCTCCCTAAACCCTAAACCCTATCATAGGGATCCGCCCCCCCACTCTCCCACAAGCACCAACCCTAAACCCTAAACCTTGAATCCTAACCCTAAACCCTACCTGGTCGTCAGTGATCTTTGGCCGCTGACTTGCCAAAGAAGCCTGGAGCAAGGCTCAGAATCAATCGTCTGGTGAACACGGGCTAGGGATGACTATTTATTCAAGAGAGTTTAGGGTTGCTTTAGGGTCTATGGTTTGGGGTTTAGGGGTTTCTCTGGATGGGGAGATCCCCAAATCAATTCATTTTCCAGTCGGCTTGGTTCTTCACTATTCCATTTTTATCTTGAGGTGCATGGCAAGCAGCTGCAATGTCTGGGCCCTGGTCTTCGACTGCCACAATGACATTCATCGTCCTGCAGGGTTGTCAAGATCAAAAAGCCCAAACCCTAATCCCTAAACCCTAATCCCTAAACCCTAATCCCTTAACCCTAATCCCTTAACCATAATCCTTAAACCCTAATCCCTAAACCCTAAACCCGAAACACCCTTGGAGCGACCCTACGGATATGTGGGGAGATACAGGAAGATCCTGGGGAGTCCCAACAAGGATGGTATAGGGAAAGGGAACACTTTGAGAAACCCCTAAACCCTAAATCCTAAACCCTAAACCCCTAAACCCTAAATCCTAAACCCTAAACCCCTAAACCCTAAATCCTAAAGCCTAAACCCCTAACAACTAAACCCCTCAACCCCACCCAGGTTGCAGCCTAAATCGGTCCTCCAGTCCAAGCCCTTCTCATCGCTGTCGTAGCCTACAGCCTTGACAGCTTCTCGAATCACCTCATTTGCTGTTAAGGAATGGGTTTAGGGTTTAGG